TCCGCCACCATCACGACAATCGAGGCTAGGCTCAACTCTCAATACCATCCTGGGGAGACGATCCCAACGGCACTCGGCACAGGTCCCGACCATGCTTCCCCATCTGGACCCCCTGGATTTGAAGGGAGAAGGTTTGATGGCCAAAGCTTGCTCTACAACTCTGACTTTAACCCACATGGTCTGATGAAATCAGCCTAGTACTCATACACCCCAAGGAGGCTTGAAGAAGATCTCGAGGTAGTGGCTGAAGCAGTTGGGAAATCCCTAGATCTCAACATTGAGACAACGGGGAAGGAAAGAGGAAGTGGATATGCTGGCTTAGGCCAGAGCTAAAAAATGGGAGGCCCGCCTACCACTCTTAACTTGATGGGCCTTGATGATGGGCCTTCAGCCACCAGCAACCATCACTCTCTCTCGCCGGTCCAGGAAGCCCAAATGAATTATGAGAGAATGCTGGGCCGAGCGGAGAAGAAAAGGAAGCCCAATCTCCGAATCCTGCAAGACTCAAGCAGCTCTGAGCCAATCAGGCCTACTAACCTCCTCCCTGATTTTATTAGTTTTTCTCCAGGGGCAGCTGATAAAGAAAAACAGAGGAGGAAGCTGGCAGCAAGGAGAAGGTCAATGGGCAGAAGCATGACTGAAGGACATGAATATGGAGAAGAAGGATCTAGCTCCCCACAGGCAGCGGTGGCACGCCTTGAGCCACCTAATCCTGAATGATGATCCTGAGTTGGAATTGTAGGGGTTTCGGCCTACCCCCTACAAGAAGCTACTGTGGCAGGATGTGTTGCCAGCTTGGCCCGTCTATCCTCTTCTTAATGGAGACAAAAAAAGAAGAAGATTTTATGGAGAATTAGAGGAGGAAGACAAACTTTTCACATTCGGAGTATGTAGAACCTAATGATGGTAGCAGCGGATTAACCATTTGGTGGAAGGCGGGAGTCAATTTTCAAATCCTTGACTCATGTAATTCCTATATAGATGCTAAGATTAACTATAGTAGGAGTTCCTTTTTCTGCACCTTTGTACATGCCCCTACCACAGCTGTGAGTAGGAGGATGTTTTGGGACCACCTGAGCTCCATCCATAGCGGAGTAGATGATAGGTGGATCATTGTAGGGGACTTAAACGTGGCCATGTTCGACCATGAAAAGCAGGGGCGCTGCCCTCTACGTAATGAGAACGTGGAACCTTTCAAGTATTTCATCTACCACAATGCACTCCTCGACATTGGATTCAAAGGCCAACCGTTCACCTGGTCCAATAAACAGCAAGGTGATAACCTGATCCGGGAAAGGCTGGACAGAGTCCTATGCTCAACTTCTTGGAGAGCTGAGTTTGATAGTGCTACTGTTTTTCATGAGGACATGTTGGAATCTGATCACTGCCCCCTGAGACTCGAACTCTGTCCCAACAAGAGGAGGAAAACAACTCTTTTTCGTTTTGATAAAAGATGGAGAGATAGCACTGAGTGTAAAGAGATTGTTGACAGAGTTTGGCAAGAGGCTGGACAGTCAGAGACAAAATTGGATAAATGTAAGTATGAAATGCTACAATTGGCAAGAGAGGATAGGAAGAATAAGATCAGACGTGAAGAGGACATCAGGCGAAGGCTTCAACTCTTACAAGGACCCATTCGGAACCAAGTGGAAGTCGAGGAGGAAACAGAACTAATACGTGAACTGGAACAAATGTGGAACTCTGAGGAAGAATTCTGGGCACAAAGGTCCAGAGTCGGTTGGTTACAAAAAGGAGACAAGAACACGGGATTCTTTCATGCGTCAACGGTTCAAAGGAAAAATAGGAACACCATTTTGAGATTAAAAAGAGATGACGATTCCTGGATGGAGGATGAGGCAGAGATGAACAATCATACTAGAGGTTACTACCAGGATCTGTTCACTGCCAGGCAAGGGGTCGGGATGGAAGACCTCATTTCCGATTTTCCCAGGTTGGTGACGGAAACCATGAATGACGACCTCAATGCACCAGTGGAGAATGATGAAATCAGGGCTTTCAAACGCATCCAAGCCCGATTTCAACATAGAAAGCATAGATTCGCGTCGCCTAAAAGCTGTCTTCACTCTTGGACACTCCAAAGCGCCAGGGCCCGATGGTTTCCCTGGTCACTTTTTCCGCAAGTTCTGGCCTCAAATTGGGGAGGGTCTGTGTGAGGAGATCAAGAGGTTTTTCCAAATTGGTAATATGCCTTCAGGATGGAATGAGACCCACCTGATCCTCGTCCCCAAAGTTGACATTCCTGAAAAGATAAGCCAATTCAGACCTATCAGCTGCTGCAATTTTCGGTATAAGATCATCACCAAGATTATGACCATACGTCTGCACTCTGCAGAAATGGCTCCCCCAGCTAGTCTCTGAGCTCCAATCTGCATTCACAGGGGGTAGACAAATCCAAGATAACATTATTATTGTGCATGAGGTCCTTAATCATTTCAGGAAGCATAAAACTGGCAACCGAAGAGATATGATGTTGAAGCTTGACATGAGGAAAGCCTACGATTTTGTGGATTGGAATTGCCTGGACAAGCTTCTGCAGGTTTATGGATTCAATTCGATCTGGTGCGGACGGGTTAGAGAGTGTATCAGCACTGCCTCCTTCTCCATCCTCTTCAATGGAGAAGCCTCTCAACCTTTCCTTCCAACGAGAGGGATCAGACAAGGGGACCCCCTTTCCCCTCTGCTTTTCATTCTCATGTCCAATGCCCTATCTTTTTTGATTGATAAGGCAGTGGCTAACCGTAGGATCAGAGGACTCAAGCTTAACCCGAGATGCCCCCTCCTCACTCACTGTCTCTTTGTCGATGACACAGTCATTTTTTGGGAAAGCATCGAGAGAGGAAGGCACTTACATTATTGAGCTCATCAACGAGTACGGAGCGATCACTGGACAGGAGGTGAACGTTCAGAAATCATTGGTCTTTTTCAGTGCGAACATCCTCCCACGGAGAAAGAGGACATCCTTCAGGCTATGGGATTCGAAGAAGCAAATAACCACTCCAGCTACTTAGGAGTCCCCACTGAGTGGGGCAACTAAAAAAAAGAAACATTCAGATTTCTCATCCAAAGAATGGAGAAGAAAGGTGAAGGGTGGAAGAGCCTCCTCCTGTCGCCGGGGGGAAAGAGATACTGATAAAGGCTGTGATCCAAGCTATCCCCACCTATATTATGATGCTTTTCCTCCTCCCCAAATCCATAACACAGAAAATGGACGACATCCTCATATGGTTCTTCTGGTCGGGGAATATGCACAGGAAATCCATCCATTGGTGCAAGGGAGAGGTCCTATATGCGCCCAAAGAAGAGGGAGGGATTGGATTCCGATCCTTTGATGATTTCAACATGGCTCTTCTCATGAAACAGGGGTGGAGACTCCTTACATCCCCAAATGCGCTTTGGGCAAGACTCCTCAAAGGTCTATTCTTCCCAAGAACGGACTTCCTTTCTGCAAAAAAAAGGGAGCAAACCTTCATGGATCTGGTCAAGCCTGTGTGAGACCAGGAAACATCTCGAACTCGACATTCTGAGGGTTATTGGAAATGGCGAATCTACCGATTTCTTCAAAGACCAGTGGGTGAATCACCTTCCCGGAGGAATCATTGCTGTCAGCAATGACTCTAACAAAAAAGTGGCTCTGTGGATTGATCAGTTGTCTCGTGACTGGGACTTTGCCCGTATCGGCGCTACCACGGCTCCACACGAAATGGAGGCGATTAGAAGGATCCCAGTTGGACATGTGGGGGCACCTGATTTTTGGGCATGGAAGCATACTCTACAGGGATTTTCTCAGTCAGCTCAGCTTACCATTCGATCCATGATAGAAGAAGAACATCCTCTCCCGATTTCAACCCTGCTTCCCAGTACGAAAGAGATAAGTGGAAATGGCTATGGAGTCTCAACCTGCCTCCGAAGATCAAATTCTTCATGTGGAGATGTGCACAAAATGCTCTTGCAACCAACTCCAATCTTCACCATCGGAAATGCTCGCCCTCTCCAGCATGCCCCATCTGTCAGAATCCCGTTGAATCCCCCCACCATTGTCTCTTTGAGTGCAGACACGCTCAGGATATATGGAAGGCTTGCTTCTCTCTTGTCCCCACACCGCCCCCCTCTACCAACTTTCTGGACTGGATTTTTCACCTCGGTGAGTCTCTCCCCATCGATACGGTTCAATTCATTATCTTCCTAACTCGGAATATCTGGAAATGTAGGAATGAGTGGATTTTTCGCAGCACCCATCCTTGGCCACCCTCACCTACAGAAACGCTTTCTGAGACCATTCTTCCTGGATCAACTGCCCTAAAGACCTCACCTGTCGGCAGCTCATTCTCTGTCAGCCTAGGGTGACCCAGATTCAAAATTGTCCACCGCCGAGTACACCTGAATGGGAAGTACACTGTGACGGATCGTTCCTACACGATTCCCATGAGGCGGCCTATGGCATTGTCGTTATCAATAGCTATGGACAAATTTGTGACGGGAAGGCTGACTCCTTTCTCTGCAACTCTGCTATGGAAGTGGAAACTAAAGCGGTATGGGAAGGTGTCAAACTTGCAAAATGTTTTAACCAGGCTTGCACGATCAAGTCGGATTGTCTTACCATCATCAACTCCTTGACCAAACCACCGTCGGACTGGCCATGGGACATGCTCGGCTATCATTGGGATTATTGTTGAAACCCTCAAGACCGCACCCCTCATCAAGGTTCAGTTCCACAAGCGGAAGGACAACTTTCGAGCTGATTGGATTGCTAGATCCCATGTCCGGTCTAATCTCCCGAGTGAATGGTTAACAATTCTCGATCTTCTTTCGAGCACCTCACTGTAACCGCTTCTGTAACCTCTTCCATTAATGAAAAGCAAGAAAGTTTACACCGTCAAAAAAAAAAACCATTCCACTTGTTCAACCGGCGCGACGATAAAAACCGGATTGACAACCTTGGTAACCTGGCGAAAGAAGATTGGATGTGTGGTGACCAATTAGGTGGCGCAACATGATTGGCTGGAAACAAAAACGAAAAGAAATCTGAAGGACAAAATGTTACCGGCAAAGAAAAACATAAATCGGATTCGTATTCCGTTCATTTTTCTTGCAAGATCGATCGAACAACCGTCCCATCAGAGAGTCCATAACCCGCACCGGCGGGGACACCAATAAAAAGCGCAGAAGCTCTTCCTCCCCGCCATTCCCGCACACTGAGCAGAGCTCTGCTCGCCGCAACCGAACTGAGATTTGCATCGGCCATCGCCAGAATCTTCGGCAGAAACCTACCTACGGTATTTTACCTCCTTCCGTATTCCTGGATCCTGTCGAGAGCGGAGGCAGCAGCAGCAACAGTAGCAGGAGGAGGTAGGAGGAAGGAAAGATGAATATATTCAGATTAGCAGGTGACATGACTCACCTCGCCAGCGTTCTCGTCCTGCTGCTCAAGATCCACACCATTAAGTCATGTGCAGGTACGTTTGCTTCTAACTCACCTCTGTAATATTGCGACGTTTTGGAGCGTCTCGCGAGATGGAGGTCTGCAATTTGCTGCACGAAATAGGAGTTAAGAGGTATCTTGCGGGTTTATACGTTAGAATTCAGAAATGTGGGAGGAGATCTGGACTGGAATGATTGAATGTTCGGTTTATTTGGCTAGATATTGCACATTTGCTGTCAGATTTTATGCTACGGTCGTTTGTTGTTCAATGAAATTGGGTTGAATGTGAATGGATTTACAACTTCCCTGGCCTTGCTTGGTTCTTAGGCGTCCTTGTTGTAACTCCTGCTGGTGCTGGATTGGTTTATTGAGAAATATGGTGATGTACCAGTTTAGATCTATTACAGAGGAGGGTGTGTGAATGATTTGCATTCTATTTTCCAGTTCCATAGCCTCTCTGTTGTTCCTACTCTCAAGCAGCTGAGTTACAGTGATGTTTGCTTTCAGTGTGGAATTTTTCCAACCTTGGTTGGACTGAGTTTTTGGACAAATGAGACTATGTTTAGGATGATTGATAATGGTTCAATTGCCAATGATACGTTTGACACTCAAAGACAAGTTGCGGTGATCGCCTAGATAGTAGGTTTAAACTGCTAGGTCTATCTTTTCCATTAATCTAACTAGGATGCTGTTCATATTGAATCTGTACTTCTCATTTGTGACCTGCTCTTTATTGTATGCAGGTGTCTCTTTAAAGACCCAGGAACTTTATGCACTTGTCTTTATCACTCGCTATTTGGACATATTTACCTCTTTTGTATCCATCTATAATACCATCATGAAGTTAATATTCTTAGGAAGCACATTCTCAATTATATGGTACATGAAACGCCACAAGCTTGTCCGAAGATCTTATGATAAAGATCAAGATACCTTCCGCCACTGGTTCCTCGTACTGCCTTGTCTGATCCTTGCCCTTCTTATTCACGAGAAATTTTCATTTCTGGAGGTTAGTTAGCACATTGTTTTACATTTCTCTTTTCCTGTGATCATCTGTTCATTCTATGCAATAAAGCTTTCAACTCCGTTTACGTTTCTCTTTGGGATTGTGTTAGCTAGAATATAGCCTGTTTCTTTCTTACATGCTTTCTGTGTTGTACAGGTGATGTGGACTTTTTCCATATTCCTAGAAGCAGTTGTCATACTTCCTCAACTTGTACTGTTACAGCGGACCAGAAATATTGACAATTTGACAGGTCAATATGTGTTTCTTCTGGGGTAAGAACTTGTTTCTCCTGTACCTTTGTTGCCTACGAAGTCCGAATTCCCTGAAAAATTGTGTCGGATTAGTCATTCTCATTTTCTTAAGGTCAGATACAGAGAAACTGTACTTTATGAAATCTAAATACTCAATTGCTGTTTTGAATGCAGTGCTTACCGGGCCCTTTATATACTCAACTGGATCTATCGTTACTTCACAGAGCCGAACTATGTTCACTGGATAAGTATGGGCTGCTCTATTTACCCCCTCTTTATTTTTTTCTCCTCTCCCAGCTCCCTGTGGACATGCATTGGATTTTCTTTTACTACCTGAACTGCTCAACCTCTTCTTCCATTGTCCTCTCTATTGCTAAATTTGATGGACTGCGTAGCTTTTGATAGATTCTATTTCCCTGCACACAGTCGCATCGAATTAGACAAGGGATGGTTGGGATATTCTCTCGTTTTAGCTTATTTGGAACTTGTCACTAGAGGAAAAGGTCAAGGGGAAGGGTTGCTTTGTCTACACCATTCTGTGCTTACATTACATTCTAGAAATCACGTTTCTGAGTGATTGCCTAAAACACTATGGAGCTGGATGCTGGTTATTCATGAGCCTTCATTTGGATATATTTCAAAAGTACAGCTTCATAGGATGTGACCATCCAAGCTTTTCAGTAAGGAAAAACCTTGGGTAATTAGTTATGTAGACATATATGTAGTAGAACTGGCTAAAGTGCCTCATAACCAAGTAGGAGATTCACTATGCGTGATCTTCACTAGTACTAACCCCATAGTTCTGAGCCCTTATTCTTTGAAACTGCCTTATTGTCTACCGTCTGTGATTTTTTTTTGTATGATACTAACATGAATGATTGCCTATTGCATCTGTTCCGCAGCTTGGATTTCAGGGCTCGGGCAAACGCTGCTTTATGCCGACTTCTTCTACTATTACATTGAGAGGTAAGTAGGTGTCTTGTGGACTAGTAATTCCACTGTTATCACAATTTTCTCGACTGTCTGCCCCTTCATTTGACGGAAAAACACCTGCCAAATTGCCATGCAGTTGGAAAAACAACAAGAAGCTCCAGTTACCGGCATGAGTGATTTCTTATGGTAGCTGGAGATTTGCAGGCGCGTGGGGACGGATTCAGTTTGGGAGCTGCCAAATTTTGTTGCTGTTTATGGACTTCTGTCCTTTTTACTGTATGATGATGGTTTAGCCACTTTAGCAGTTCTATACTATACTAGAGCCATGCCTTCAAAGAGATGCCGACTCCGAACGTACACTCGATACTCCATTTGTGTACTTTTGGGACCCGGTTTTGTTTGTGACATCTTCAAGTAAAGGTTGATGCACAGCTCAATTGGTCTTGAGTTATATTTTAGTTTACAAGCTGACCATTCTAGGGCTACAGAACTTTGATGCCACTGGAAAGGATTCAATCCTTCTCTCGCACTAACAAGAGCTGACGAAAGCAATTTTTGGGAGAGACAACAGAGTTTTCTTGGGACTGACCTTTGTTTTTGGATGGGGTTTCTCCCATAATACACAGTTCCACACACACAAAATCATCAATACCCACTTCTTTTAACAATTTTTATTACACCACTTCTACTTTTAAAGCATTATTGCTTGAAATACAACTTGAAGTTATGTTGTACCATAATGTTAAAGTACACATTTTTAAGGTGTATCATAAGAAAATTTATGTTATAGTACAATTTCAAGTTGTATCATAACATAACGATACAATTTTAGTTTGTATCATAAAAAGATTTATACGAAAAAGTATAGGTACAATCTCATATTTGTATCAACATCGCATAGTTCTCTCGTTTAGTGAGAGTATGTAAAACTTCTCTAGGTTTTCTTGGTGCTAGTTGGTTTTCCTAGCTCGAGAGGTCTACGACTGGATTAGGCATGGCAGACAGGGGCAAGTTAACGGATACCCGCCCGAAGCCCGCCCGAGAAGAGCCCAAGCGGGCTGGCATCAGAAGCCCGTCAACGAGTGGCGGGGAACCTGGAATCCGTAAACCCTGGGTTTTGGGTGGGGCTGGATCGTCGACTATCCGCCCGAAACCCGCCTGGCGGATTACCCATGCACCAGAACGGCGTAGTTTCGCCCCCCCCCCCCCCCCCCCACATATATATATATATGGCAAAGGCTAGCGTACACCTGGCGTACGCTATACGCATGTGTTCACACCTAAAAATTCATTTTTAATTAAATTAACTATTAATGATAATTAAACTTACAATTATAGCCAATAATTATTGGTTGTGTACGTTTCAGTACCCAAACAATTTATACCACTAGTTATGCTTTAATCAATCATTTAAGTAATCATTATACAAATTACCGTACCCTTTTTCTTCAAATCGTACCTTTGACTTTGAGACATCCAGTTTTAAGTCCATGACGAAACATTTACCATTATAAAAAAAAAGTCCATAACGAAAAGTTAAATTGCTATTTCTAGCACTCCCTCCCTTGCAATCTAGTAGGCCCAATTCTAGAAACCTGGTGTTCATCAATGGGATAACCATGTCAATCATTTTCAAGGAACAAATATTGGAACTCCGAATCAGCCTTCTCCTTTTTGTATCCACCGGGTGAGAATATAAATGTGGATGAACAAATTTGAGTCCATGTCGTGTGCGAATAGATGCCATATATGGATCAACTTGTTCCCCCCTTCCTCCATCGTCTTTGAAATAGTAAAGAGCGTCAGTTTGTTGGGAACTATGACTAATTTCAGCCCCCACAACAACACAAACACACAATTCCAAAGCTTAATTGGTCCGTCACCTCTCTAATCGTCCAGAAAACCTCTTCCCATATGGCCTTTCTCTTCAGAATCCTGCTGGGAGCATCCATCAATAAGCATCGATCACATTATCGGCGATAAGGCCGTAGTTTGTAACCAGAGTCCCACACCCGGCGAAGTGACCTCCGTCTCCCATAGTGGGGCAGTGCCCCGCCGGGAACGCAAGGTGGGTGCTCTGTTTCTCAATCGCACATTAAGGCTCTTCAAGATGGCACCGCTTTGAACTCACGCTGTCTCCATCACGTCGACTTGCAATTCGTTGAGATTGAATAGATAGAAGACGGTGTGAGGTTTTTCAAAGCAGTACGAAATGTTGGCGTCATCGTGTCCGCAACTCTGATATGAAGCCTCTGTTCCTTGTTGTTGAGTAGGGTGTATTAGATTTGGACCATTTGGGTCTCGATGGCAGGAGTCAAATTGATGATTGGGTTGGAATTGGAGTTTCGATAGCGAAGAAACTAGGTCATGAAAAGGGGGCAATGGCACTCTGAAACAAAGACTAAAATGTTATGGCCCAAGGAAACGAATGTCTTTTGTAATTCAATTGGATGTTTACATGATTGAATTAAGCATAACGATGAGAAATTTATTTGGGACTAAATCGTATAAGAAATTAAATCAATAGTTGTAGTAGTAATTATAATTTGTATCAATTATTTATTTAATTATAATAAATTAAAAAATTTAATAGGTGTGAACACAGGCGTACAACATACGCCTGGTGTACGCTAGCCTGAACCATATATATATATTCGTGTTACACGTTGAGAAACCCTAGCAGCACCCCTCATTTCTCATTCTTCATTTCGAAGACCAAAACTCCCAAACCCTAGTTTCCTTCTTTCTCTCTACCTCCTCTCTGGTGATTAGCGATCAAATCAAAAGATAATCGCGATTTTTCGCCTTTTCTCCTCACCAAATCCTCGAATCTCTCATAGTTTCCTTAGGATCTCTCTTTGATTCATCCATTTGACCAATCACATGGCTGGAAGAGCAACCATCCAACGTCGATTTCGTCGAGCACAACCCAAAAACAAGTCGTTTGGAGTTAAAATCCCTGATTGTTCGTCGATAGCAAATAAGTTAATTCTGGATTCTTTTCTTTTCTTTCGATTATCTTCGCTGTATTCTCAAAATCTCTACTGACGCTTGACTCTCGTACTGCTATATATTGGGGGGGGGGGGGATTTTAGAGGTCGTTCCTCACCAGTCACCATCCTCACCTTCTCAGAACTTCTACCCAGAACACCCAGTCCACAGAGAGTAGAGACAGAGAGATTGCGACGAGCATCCAGACAGAGTCCATGTCTCAAGGTTAATGATCTTGAACTCGTCAACTTTTTCTGGTTTAGTGGTGTTAATACAGACATGCATGCTTGCCATCATGTTCTAACTTTGTTTTTGTTTGTTGCTCACTCTTTTTTGCCCAGGTTGGACTCGTTTGAATCGGTATTGAAGGATTGAACTCTAAAGAGCATATGAGCGAGTGATAGTGATCATCAGTGATCAGTCTACTATCATTGGGTACTTGATAGTCCTCAGAAAAACTCAAAGACAAGGTAGTCCCGTTCTCCTCTCCTAAGTCCTAACCAGTAGGCAGTAACCATTGTGTTTGTTGTGTTGTGAGACTTAGTTGTGACTATGGCTTGCTTTCTAATGATAAGAAGTTAGTTAGAAGACGTAAACTGTAATGGTGAAATTGTTGAAAATGGTGTCTTGTTTGCTAGTTAAAAGAAGTCTTGTCCATTTAAGTAAGAAAAAATGTAAAATGAAGGTATAATCAGTGATATATAACTTGATTATGTTCAGATGGAAGGTGCTACTGCTAATTGTATGAATGTTGATCAACATGTCCCTGAAAATGTTGTCCAAATCCAACCTGAACAACCTATTCCTGTTCCAAACAATATGGTTAATGGTAATGAGGAAGAACTGGAAGCACAACGTAAGTTAACCTCTAATGTTTGGCCTCACTTCCACAGAGTTAGGATTAATGGGGTAATGAAAGCTAGGTGTAAGTATTGTCGTAAACCCCTTGGTGGGAAAACAAGTAATGGAACTTCACACCTGAGAAACCATATCAAAACATGTATCCAGAAGAGGATACATGATGGTTTTCAAAAAATACTTGGCCCCAACTATCAACCTGCCAGAAATCCTCAACTTTTTGCTTCTCAATACAATTATGAGGTTTCTAGGAAGTAACTTTGTTCGATGATTCTGATCCATGAGTACCCCCTTAGCCTTGTTGATCATGTGGGTTTCAAACGTTTCTGCTGTTCTCTTCAACCTCAATTTGCTGTCCCTAGTAGAAACACTTTGAAAAAAAATATTATGGGTTTGTATGGGGTTGAAAGGTCTAAATATCATACCATGATTGATGGTAAGTTGGGGAGGGATTCAGTGAATACTGATTTGTGGACTGCCACAAATCAGAAAATGGGGTATATGGCAGTAACTGGTCACTTTGTTGACAACTCTTGGAAGCTCCATAACATAATTTTGAGGTTTATGTATGTTCTAGCCCCTCACACTAGTCAAAGACTAGCTGATAGGTTGTTTGATTCTCTTCTGGATTGGAACATTGATGGTAAGTTGTCCTCAATCACACTGGACAACTATACCACCAATGATTCCATGATATTTCATATGAGAAATAAGCTTGTGAGCAGTGATTTGTTGCTTGATGGTAAATTGGTTCATATGAGGTGTTCAGCTCATATTCCGAACTTGATTGTGAGGGATGGTTTGGATGAAATCAAGGATGCTATACATTTGATTAGGGAGAGTGTAGTTTACTGGAATTCTACACCTAAGAGGGTTCAAACCTTTTTCGAAGTTGTTAAGCACCTAAACTAGTTGACATTTGAGAAAAAAACTGGTACTTGATTGTCCAACTAGATGGAATTTCACATACCATATGCTCTCTGTTGCTCTTCAATATAAGGATGTTTTCTTTCGTTTGAGCTTGAGGGACAATCAATACACATATGTTCCTTCTAGTTCTCACTGGGAATTTGCATATGTTCTGATTGATAAGCTGGAAATTTTCTCTAAGATAACTGAGTTATTCTCTGGTTCCAAGTATCCGACTGCCAATCTTTTCTTCCCAAAGAATTGTGACTTGAGACTAAAACTTAATGAGTGGGGTCTTGATCCCAACCCTGTGATTTTTGGAATGGCAAGTCAAATGTCTGAGAAGTTTAATAAGTACTGGGATGATATCCACCTTGTACTTGTTGTCTCGGTTTTTTTGGATCATAGATATAAGCTCCATGTGATTGAATACTATACTGGAAAGTTTGGGAATACGGAAACTGATTTGGTTGCTAAGAATATCAAGAAGATTAAATGTGGTTTGATTTTTTATTATCAAACCAAAGCCGAGAAGAAGTCTGGTTCTGAAACGGGAACTTCTTCTGCTAGTTCTTGATCTGTCTCGGCTACTGATCTTGATTTTGAGCTCTTTGTAAGTCAAACATTGGATATCTCATCTTCATGAAATTTTCAATTATTGTGATCCCTCAG